CTAACTACCACACCAATCTAAGGGCCAAGGTTCAATCTTATCCAAATCCAACGGCCCACATTCAATCTTATCCAATAATTCAAGGGCAAAAGGGTAAATGAGCATGAGAGGAGAGGGGCATTCTTGTCCTTCCATTTTCGGCCATACAGGGTAATTATCAGTCCCCTTAATTTATCCAGTGTTCAAAATTCCGTTCGCAGTGCAAAAGGGCAAAACGGTCATTTTTTTCCGGTCCCGAACCAAAATGCATTTTTTTACAAAAATGGGTGGCCCCAAGGTTGGCCATACCAAAAACGTCATCGGCCGCTAAAAATTGTCACTTTCGAAATTCTCGATTCCCGGACCCGGATTCCAAGAAATGATTAAAATCGAAGAATCACGACTTTAGCTTATCTCTTACTAACTGGTGGCTCATTGGGATTACGCGCTCTCGACCCGTGACCGACACTAAGTCGAGCCACGTTTAAGTTTGCTCGAGTCAAGGCGACCTCGGTTATCATGTAATTGCGAGGGTCTGTCACTATTTCCATTCGGACACAATCGATCGAATGGATCGGTCTCTGTTGGCCCAAAACATTCCCTCGTCAATCCTTATGGTTGAAGGTCGAACCAAGGTCGAGTTCTTTAGTCGTGCGAACTCAATTCCGTGATAGCCTTACCCCTAAGGTTAGCATCCCGAGAATAATCAGTTCCGGATGAGATTTCACTATAAGTGCATTGACCAACATATTCATTTCATAAATCCCGGGAAAAGGATCGAAAATTCAGAATGTTACGGCGGTGGCAACGGGCTCAGCCAGGCGAGCCGCGAGCAGGTGCTTGGGATGAACAGCGGTTGGGCAGAAGGGGAGCAGGCTAGCAGCAAAGGGGAAATGAGGAAGAAGAAGAAGAAAGAAGAAGAAAGAAGAAAGAAAAAGAAGAAGGAGAGAGAGAGAGAGGGAAGGGACGTGTGCATGGGGCAGAGGGGGGAGAGAGAGAGAGAGAGAAAGAAAGTCAACTCCATCGAGTGCGATCCAACGGCCCACGTTCAAACTCGAAGTCGATCCGATGGTCCACGAAAATCCCTAATTTATAAATTAGGAAAAAGTGCCAAAAACACTAACTAAAATACACTAAAAGGGAGGTCTACTAGTCAAAATCTGTACCCGATCTAAATTTTACTTTTCACCATTTCTAGGCAATATCGACACTGGCCATAATAATATCGACACCGTCCAATTAAATTCGTCACGAAACTCCGAGAAATTCGACACCAAAGTTCGAGTTCTAATAACGGCCAAATTCGATCGAATGCGATTTTAACGAAATCTCAAATTTCAAAATAACCTGAGAGTGATCATTTCTATGCGAGATTTAACTATAAGAGCATCGACGAAATACACGTTTTATAAATCCCAAAAATGGGTCGAAATTCGGAATGTCACAACTCTTCCCCCTTACAAAAATTTCGTCCTCGAAATTTACAACCCAACCCAATTATTCGAACAAATGGGAGTATTGATGTCGCATCAATTCTTCGCTTTCCCATGTCACACCTTCGGTTCCATGATGCTCCCAAATTACTTTGATCATCGGAATTGTCTTGTTCCGCAACACTCGTTCCATTTTGTCCTCGATCCTTACTGGCATTTCCACGTACGATACTCTGTCGTCCACGTCTATTTCTTTATAATTCAGCATGTGGGATGGATCCGGTTCATACTTCCTTAACATAGATACGTGAAATACGTTGTGAACTAGGGACAAATTCGGCGGTAATGTGAGACGATAGGCCAAAGTATCAATTCTCTCTAAGATCTCGAATGGACCCACGTACCTCGGGCTCAACTTCTCTTTTTTGCCAAACCGTGACAATCCTCTCATCGGCGATACTTTGAGGAAAACGTGGTCCCCTACTTGAAATTCCAAAAGCCTTCGTTTCCGGTCTGCATAATTCTTTTGGCGGCTCTGAGCGGTCTTAAGCCTGTCCCGAATCACCTTGACTGTTTCGACTGACTGCTGAACTAACTCTGGACCTGTGATGCTCCTCTCACTAACTTCATCCCAATAAACCGGCGTTCTGCAAGCTGTGCCATACAGCGCTTCAAATGGTGCCATTCTAATACTCTGCTGATAGCTATTATTGTAGGCAAATTCAATCAGATGCAACTGTTCATCCCAACTACTCTTAAAATCCAATACACATGCCCGCAGCATATCTTCCAAAGTCTGAATCATCCTTTCAGACTGGCCATCCGTTTGGGGATGATAAGCCGTGCTAAACTGTAACTTCATTCTTAATGCCGTATGAAGACTTTTCCAAAAAGCGGCCGTAAACTTAGGGTCACAGTTTGAAGTAATCGTCACTGGCACTCCGTAAAGATGAACTATTTATCGCACATATATCTCGGCATACTTTTCCAAGGCAAAGTCCTTTTGTACCGGCAGAAAATGTGCTGACTTTGTCAATCGGTCAACTACCACGCAAATTGAATCATGACCCCTCTAGCTCCTGGGTAATCCCATTACAAAGTCCATCGTGACGTGTTCCCACTTCCACTCAGAGATTTCTAATGGCTGCAACATTCCACCCGATTTATAATGCTGGGCCTTCACTTGTTGGCATGTTAAACACTTAGCCACGTGCTTAGCTACATCCACTTTCATGATGTTTCACCAATAATGCTATCGTAAGTTCTGATATATCTTCGTACTACCCGGGTGAATATTATAATTGCTACGGTGAGCTTCTAACAAAATCTCCTCCTTCAGTTCTGCATCACTAGGCACACACAACCATCCACGGAACTTCAAAATCCCATCCTCGGGTACCTGAAAGTCCGATTTCCTTTTTGTGACATCCATTTTCAAAATCTTCTGAATCTCTAGGTCTGTCGATTGTAAAGCCTTAATCTTAGTCTGGATTTCTAGTTCAATCGTCAATACGGCAAGTAGACTTGAGACATGACTCACTTCAAACTTAAACTCCGAATCCCGAACTCCCTTCAACAGAGTCCATTCCTTGACCATCATATGCATGATGCTCGATTTCTGACTTAATGCATTCGCTACTTTATTAGCCTTTCCGGGGTAATACAGAATATTGCAGTCATAGTCCTTAAGGAGTTCCATCCAACGATGCTGTCTCATGTTCAATTCCTTTTGGGAAAATAAGTACCTTAAACTTTGATGGTCCGTTTAAATTTGAAACTTCTCTCCACACAAGTAATGTCTCCAAATCTTAAGGGCGAAGATAATCGCGGCCAATTCCAAGTCATGTGTCGGATAGTTCAGCTCATGTGGTCTCAATTATCGCGATGCGTATGCTACCACTCTTCCATGTTGCATTAACACGCATCTTAGTCCCTTTAGCGAAGCATCACTGTAGATCTCATATCCTCCTGGACCTAATGGGATTGTCAACACTGGGGCGGTCGTCAACCTCTGCTTTAACTCCTGGAAACTCCTTTCACACTTATCCGTCCATTCAAACCTCGTTTCTTTCTTTAATAAACATGTCAATGGTGTTGCTAACGTCGAAAACCTTTTCATGAAACGTCTGTAATAACCTGCTAGACCCAAGAAGCTCTGAACCTTAGTTACTGTTGTCGGTCTCGGCCAATTCGTGATGGCTTCAATCTTTGTCGGATCCACTGCAATTCCTTCCCCGGATACCACATGTCCTAAGAACATTACACGATGAAGCTAGAATTCGTACTTACTGAACTTAGCGTAAAGTGCATGTTCCCTTAAAGTCTGTAGAACCTTTTCCAAATGTAACTCATGTTCGGCGGAACTCTTTGAATATACCAAGATATCGTCTATGAACACGATTACAAACTGATCCAAGAATTCCTTGAACACCCAATTCATCAAATCCATAAAGGCTACAGGGGCATTAGTCAATCCAAACGGCATCACCGTAAACTTGTAGTGTCCATATCTCGTCCTGAATGCCGTCTTCGACATATCTTCCTTCTTAATCCTCAGTTGGTGATAACCTGTCCTCAAGTCGATCTTAGAAAATATCGATGCTCCTTGCAACTGATCGAACATGTCGTCTATCCTTGGTAGTGGGTACTTATTCTTAATGGTTACCTGATTTAACTATCTATAGTCAATGCACAACCTCAAAGACCTATCTTTCTTTCTCACGAATAACACTGGCGCTTCCCATAGAGACGCACTCGAGCGAATAAAGCCTTTATCCAGTAACTCTTGCATCTGAACTTTCAATTCCTTCAATTCTGACAATGACATCCTATAGGGTGCTTTTAAGATCGGTTTCGTATTGGGGTCCAACTCAACCACAAATTCTACTTCTCTATCAGGTGGTAATCTCGGCAATTCCTGAGGAAAGACATCGGAAAAATTACGCACCATGGCTATGTCTTCTAGCCTTGGCTCTCTAGTCATCGAATTAACTATGGCCGCCAGAAATCCTTGGCACCCTTCGTCTAACAGCTTAGTCACCTCAAATGACGAGATCCAAAGGATTGAGGTTCCTTCTCGATTTCCCACGAACTCGAATCTAAGATGTCCAACCGGATTAAATTGGATCACCCTGTTAGTATAGTCCATTACAGCTTTCTGTATAACTAACCAGTCCATACCAACAATCACATCAAAGTCATACATAGCTAAAACCGTCAAATCTATCCTTTCTTCCCTATCACCAATCACTATCTTACAATCAGGGCATCCAAACGCAACAACACTTTATCATTCAATGGAGTAGTCACACACAGCATAACTTCAAACGGTCTCGGTTCAATTCCAGACAATTTAACGAACTGCTCAGATATAAACGAATATGATGCCCTTGGATCAAATAAAGCATATGCAGCATGATTATAGAGAGAGGTCGTACTTGTGACCATGCTAGGCGCGTCCTCAGCTTCCCTTCTCGGCATTGCATATACTCGTCCTTGGGTCGGTGGCCTATTCTGATTGGCCGGTGGGATAGCTCCAACTTGATTTCCATTCAGGGGCGGCGATGGCAGTAGTGCAGGCGACCTAGCCTACCTATTGTTGGGGTAGTCCCTCATCTGATGGCTGTTTCTACCACATTTAAAACACGCTCCGCCCCTACTTGGGCAAGGTCCATTCCCATGTTTCCTTCCACATAACCGACACGGGGCGTTCTGAAAGTGATTCGGCTTTCCGATACTTCTATGAATAGGAGGGATAAAACAATTATTTCCCGTTATAGGTCTCTTCCCAAAACGACGGTTGTCCCAAGCCGAGGCCTGCTGCGATCCATAGGCGACAGCCCGATCCATCAAATCACACTCGATTGCCTGAGCCCGATCATAAATCTCATGATAGCCCCTCAGGTTCAGTGAGATCACCTGACTGTGGAGGTTCGGCTTCAGTCTATCTCGGAACCTCCTGGCTTTGTCCATTGGGTCCTCTACCATTCTTGGGGTAAACTTGGATGGCCTTGCAAACTCGACCTCATATTGTTCTACCAACATCTGACCCTGGCGAAGTCTCATGAATTCTGCCAACTTCTGCTCTTGGGCACTTTTCGAGAAATACTTGCCATTAAAAGTCTCAGTAAAATGGTCCAAGTCGGAGTAGTACCAGCGGGAAACACTTGGCCTCTTGCGGCTCTCCACCAGTTGCTTGCATTTTCTTGAAGCTGGTATAATGCTAGGGTTACCTTTTCCTCTTCAGTGCATCCCAGCACTTCAAAAGCTTTTTCTAGCTCTTCCACCCATCGAGGTACAGCCTCAGTATTACCTCTACCATCAAACCTCGGAGGCTTCAGCTTAAAAAACTGCTCAACCAGCTTAGACATCGGCCTGTTTGCATTTACTTGGCCCTGAGCGGGGTACCCACCATTCCTGTTGTTCCCGTTGTTTCCATTGTTTCCATTATTTCCATTGGCTCTATTGGTGGCAGCAACAGCGGCCTCAGCAGCAGTAGCGACAGTAGCATTCCGCTTTTCAGTCTGTCTACCCATTAAATCCCGACTTCTTTAGTGCCCTCAGAATTCTATCCTCTCGGGGATGCTCTGCAACTCTAGCTTACAGGGCCACATGACTTTGACCTCTACCTCGACCTCGACCTCAACTGCTCATTCTCACAGGGTCTTACACTCGCCTACCTGCTATAATTCCACTCAGGAATTAGAGACCTAGGCCAACTATACCAGTCTAAAGTCCTAGGCAGGGAATCACAACAATAATTCACCAAGCAGGCAGTCAATCACATACAGCACCCAATCGCAGCCAACATAGTTCGCGCACTTATCTCAAGTCCTCACGCACCTGCACTTCACACACTATTGCATAAGATCACTCAGCAACCACAATCACATAGTCTGGGGTACGCATGGCACAGGAGTCTCCCTAACTGGCTACCCCAAAGTCATCGCTCATTATCACTTCAAGCTTTGACCAACTTGGATCGAGCTGACCTTGCTCTGATACCAAATCAATGGGGATGTCATGCCTCGAACCTCAACGGGCTCGTGACACCCTTACGATGATCGTATCAAATGCAACGTCCCAGGACGCATCACCGACCCAAACGAGACACCCACATGTATACACAAGCGGAAGCGAAATATAACAACCCAGACAATAGACAATGACGAAGGGATAGTAATAGCACAAAATAATAATTTCATAACAATGGAAAACAGTCACTTACAACATTCAGCCAGACAATCAGACAATAGGCTCCTAGGGTTAGCGTCCACCATTATCATCAAAAAAGGACAGGTCGTAGGGTAAGCTAGCTAGCTGCACAAAAAGGGCTCTACCAAAAAGCTTCTAAGCCCAGCACCCAAACGCTCCTACGGTGCCCAATCTAAATCAGACCCTAAAGACTCCGACTCCGTGTCAGAGTTAATCTCGATCGGCTCTTCCCCGTTACCCGGCTCCTCCTCGGGCTCGGACTCCATGGGCTTTGGTACAGGCTCGGACTCTTCTTCAGGTTCGGACTCCTCAAATTCCTCTTTGACCTCGAGATCCACAGGCGCTACAGGTTCTGGTACGGGCTCGGGTTCGAGACCAAGGTTCTTCGGGGGATCTTCGAAGTCCAGAATTTCACCATTAGGAGCATACACGTCCCCGGGCTCCCAATCTACGGCATCCTCGTTGCCATGATGCTATCCTTCAAAATCTCGGATTGGGCCAACTAACTCCAACCCGTCACGATAAAGCTAGGCCAAGTTAGTATGACACTGTAAGTCCTCCAAGCCCACATCTACCCAGACTGTAGTGAGGTGCCTAATATAAGTCTAATGTGGACCTACTGGATACTCGGTCTCCTCATGCACCGTCTACATAGGGACCCCAAAACGCCGAGGTGGTCGCATGATCAAGGTCGGGGTCGGGGATCTGAAATTATTTGCACTACAGCAATGAGAATAAATCTCAATAAGCAGACAACCTAAACCCCACCTAGGCCAATGCGTACCCAGATGAGTCCCAACATGCAATCTAGCAATCGACATAAAAGAATTCTCATGCACACTTACCTCTCCTCAAATCACCCGCCAACTCCGCGCATTAGTCAAATCACAATAATACAATAATAGCTCAAGAACATAACATAAACACTCGAGCGCCATAACCACGTACATTCACCTAATTCAACCAAACACATTTCGCATGCGTGTCCAACCGACTAGCCATGACCCGCGTTAACATGCCTCAGGTCCAGCCCTCCGATCAAACCGGGCTCAGTCCCGCGTAACCACGCCTCAGGACATTTCTCTCGACCCGCATAATCACGCCTCAGGTTGGCAGCGCTCCGATCAATCCGGGCTCGGTCTTGCGTAACCATGCCTCAAGACATTTTTCATGCATATACACCACAACACAATTCGCCAATATCAATCTAACACGTCATACTATTCAAATTCAAGTCATGCTCACCACATTAGCCCACTAATCCGACCTTCAAGTTGGCCATATTCAAACACCAATTTCACTCACAAACGCCACTACAACTCAGTCATTGAACCCATCTCGATCGATCACTAATTTAGCCACAAAATCACCACCACAATAATCCATAAACTAATCACATTCAATTAACTAATCCCTACCTAACTTGGTCACTAAACCAACACTAATCACCCCTAAACAAGTCTAATAATACCCAAAGTACCAAGTAGGGTTTAGGGAGTCAATTACCTAGCTTTGGCCCAAGGAAAATCGACAAGGGGGCCAAACGGGCCGGTCCGGACAGCGGCGGGCTCGACATAAGCAAGGGCGCAGCGGGCAAGCTGCTCGGCCACGGCTCGGCAAAGCCCTCAGCCACGGCCGGGGGAGCGGCCAAGCGTGTAGGCGAGCAGTTGGGAGAGCTCGGCCACGGCCGAGACGGCAACCAGACGAGCTCGGCCACGGCCTGGGCAGCGGGCTAGGCGACACGGTTGGGCGAGCGGCAGCGGCGACGAGCAAACAAGCAGACATGAAGCTCGGCTAGCTGGTGAGCTAGCTAGTCGGCGACGGTAACGGTGAGCAGTGGCTAGGCAGCAGCGACGGTGGTGGCAACGGGCTCAACCAGGTGAACCGCGAACAAGCAGGAGGCAAGCGACGGCGATGGCGAGCGGTGGTTGGGCAGCGAGACGGGCGGCAATGGGGACGGGCTCGGCCAGGTGAGCTACGAGCAGGCGGTTGGGATGAACGGCGGTCGGGCAAAAGGGGAGTAGGGGCAGCGGCGAAGGGGAAAGGAGGAAGAAGAAGAAGAAAGAAGAAGAAAGAAGAAAGAAAAAGAAGAAGAAAAGGGAGGAGAGAGAGAGAGGGTGGGGACGTATGCATGGGGCAGAGAGGGGGAGGGGACGCACGCGGCAGAGAGAGGAGAGAGAGAGATAGAGAAAGTCAACTCCATCGAGTGCGATCCAACGACCCACGTTCAAAGTCGATTTCAATTCGATGGTAAAAAAAAACCCTAATTTATAAATTAGGAAAAAGGGCCAAAAACACTAACTAAAATACACTAAGAGGGAGGTCTATTAGTCAAAATCTGCACCTGGTCCAAGTTTCACTTTTCACCAATTCCGGGCAATATTGACGCTGGCCACAATAATATCGACACCGTCCAATTAAATTCATCACGAAACTCCGAGAAATTCGACACCAAAGTTCAGGCTCTAATAATAGCTAAATTCGATCGAATGCGATTTTAGCGAAATTTCAAATTTTAAAATTAACCCGAGAGTGATCAGTTCTGGGCGAGATTTAATTATAAGCGCACCGACAAAATACACATTTTATAAATCCCAAAAAGGGGTAGATATTCATAATGTCACAAAATGTCTTCATGATATCAATGTTTTACGATGTGCATAAGATTGTCAATCTCTAGCAGGACTTGACACGAGAGTATGACTTGGTGGTGCTACCAACAAGACGAATGAAATGATATATAGGAGCACGTTTTAAACCCAAAAAAAGAATTACATGTATGATTCACTAAAAGTTCTCTTTGTGAAATACGTTTGGATGGCAAGTTCAAGTAAGACAAGACATCAAATATTTTATTGTCACCCATTTAAAAAAAGCCGTAAATCAAGGAAAAAAGTCTCTCCTCATAAAGCCGATGTTCTCCATTCTATTAAAAGAAGATTCACTTGCGTCAGCTCTTCGACAAGAAATAATATCCTGTTGTCTTTTTTTAGCTAACTAACCATTTAATGACATAAAAACAACTATAAATATTTTACTCTACACGTACGTTGTCACGACCTACCTCTTGAGGGCCGAACTCAGGAAGTGGGTTTAGAGGTAAGTGTTTACGGTCCAAATGACACATCATAAAAGACGACTTACCGAAGTATCGATCTTTTGTTCATCCATAAGGTTCATTAATCATGAACGTGGATTCTCCTTCAATCCACACCTCGCGTGATAGCAGGTTGATTTGATCTTCTTTAACAAATAGGAGTCGCCACTAGCTTATGTCGAGGGTCGGCTAGAATACCCAATCAAAATGTGAGAATTTTGTTTCGGCTTCTACGAAAACCATAGATCATGGGTTCAAGGACTAGCTTACGTTAATGTTTCCACTAACGCCCTTTCGATATCGCTAAACTTATTTGGTTGTTATCTAAGTTGCCATGCATTTGGTTTTACCATTTTCATGTCAAAGTCTTAGTCAACTAGGTGATCATGCATTTTGTTTTTGTGTTTTCCATTTAGAATTCTAGAGTAGTCCTATCTTAGTCTAGAAAAGGAAAGAAACAAGCAATTGTATTGAAAAGCGGTGCATAAAGTAAACACCCAATGTATTGAAATGACAAGCTATTCCAAATGCAAGAAAAAAAACCTGCAACTCATCGGATGTTTATTACAACATGAATAGAAAGACCCGAGACATGATTGGGTATCGAATGGAGTACAAAGATGAGACCGGATTGGACATTGGTCTTATATCGCCATCTTCACGTCTTGTTATCACGCCCCGAACCCCATCGAGTTCGTGGCATCCCTCCTTGGTCGAATCAGTGCGACGTCCCAGGAAACACCACCGACCCAAACTTGCACATCAGAGATAAAGCACTAGCGAAAGCCTCAAACACCCAAACAATATTTAACTAGGGGTAAAAGGGAGAATAAATCACCAAACCACCAAGCATTTTATTGCACTGCGCTATATACAATATTCATTATAATCCATCACAAACAACAACCAACCACTTCATTACACCCACTATATTTACATTATTCACTACAAACCGTCGCAACCATCAAACCTCGACACTGACAACCGCCGATATCAAAAAGGGCTAGCGGCTTCGGATAGACTATCACTTGCACCGAAAAGGGACGTCTCCAAAATTGTCCAACCCCTAACTTCTTACTAACCCCTATTCACCCTAGAGGGGGGGTCCACTTAGAGTCGGTCTCGTCGATGCCAGTTTGTTCCTCTGAAGACTTGGACTCAGCGTTGATCTCAATCGGATTGTCTTTGTCTCCCGACTCCGCTGGAGCTTCGATCAGCTAAATG